ATTAAAATGTTCAAGAAACGCATGGCCTATTTTTTCTTTCTTTCACAACAATAGCCACAAACGAAGAGAACTAATTTTCCAGTTTCGTGCGCAAACGTGCCTTTCATATGGAGCTATTATAGCCGCTCTTAGTCGGATGAGAAAATTACACCAATTTATCCCCACATGCCTATAGCCTCTACATCCTCGCATGCTTTTAGGTCACTTTAGGAATAACCTTTGAAGGCATCACAGCGCGCAAGTGTTGCAAAAACAAAGCGGAAAGCTCTTTATTACACACAGATCCTCATGTGGAATACACCAAACAAAGTGTTTGACTTTGGTTCTAGAAAAAGGAAAAAAAAAAAAAAAGAAAGAAAGTTAAAGATTTTCTTTTTTATTATTATTATTCTGGAGGCTATTTTCTGCTTACGAGATAATAAAATGATTAAAATGCTTCTTTTTTTTGCTGCATAAAGAGAATTTATGCATGTGTGTGTCTGCCTATATGGTGAAGATGTAACTGTGCTGCTGCTGCATTCAGAGCAAGTAGGACAAATGATCAGAAATATTATTTTTATTTTCTTTTTTTATATTAAAATCTACTTTTAACCAGTCATCCATTCAGCTGCTGCATATGGCTCAATAGCTGTAGATGAGGAGGCAAAAAAAAAAAAGAAGGGAGGTTGGTGTTGAAATGAATCTGACTCAGCATCGAACAGAGACGTTTAAAGAGATGAAGCACATGATGAGTAAAAAGAAGGAGAGTGAAGGAGTGAAAGCAGAGCAGCAGCACATTCCCGGTTAGAGATCCGCTCCTAGCCTGGAGGTACGAGGGGGCCGCGAGCAGGAATGAAAGCCTTCGCCGAGTGGAGGGGAGATAACCCCACTAATCATTTCCCCCAATATGACGGAAGGAGGGGAGGTGGAGGTGGAGGTGGTGGTGGTGGAGGGGGGGAGAAGAGAGAGAGAACTACAAACTTGGGTCAGGGGCGCGAGGATTGACATCCCAATCTCAGCAAATAATGAAAGCTTTCCTCTCGGATCACAAGGAGGGTTAGGGAGGAAGACAGGGGAGGAGAGCGAGGACTGAGGAGGATAGACGTGGGGAAGGGAGAGGTGGGGCTGCTGCCTCGCAACCTCCTCAAACCGCTCGTGTTTTCACAGGACTGCAGAGGAGAGTCAAAGTCCCCGAAGGCTGAGAGGAATTAGCATGTGACGGCCTGAAGATGACCCTCGAAACTGCCCCAAACTCCACCAACACCACTGAAATAAATGGGTACGACACTCCTGTGGCTTCCAAAAATGCTGCAGCTGTCTCACTAGCAGCTATCTGCAGCTTTAGCTTTAAATTGTCACAACAAACATGATGCTGCATGTCATTATTTCACTGATCCA